CAAAATTTTATTTTCAGTTTGTAAGGAAGAAATTGGAAATGCTTTCTTATATGAAATTTTACAGACATATATCAAATCTCAAGAAGGTGAACAAGATTAAAACTAGAAAAATTCTAAGAATTCTATTACTCAATATTTTGTTTTATTGTATGTTATCATATAAAAATTATTTCAACAAGAGTTTTAGAAAATTATTATGAGACATACTCTGACTTTTTGCTTGAATTTTATTGAATGATTCTATATTACTTCTATATCATTTCTATTTCTATTAAAATATGTTAAATATAAATATCTTATATATTTCATATTTCTATATATATATATATATATATATATATATAATGATAAAAGTAATATAATATGAAACATTTACTTGAAATTTATTGATAAATAATAAAATTTATTCATAAATCATTTTCAATCACTCATTTCAGCAAAAAAACTTGATAAAAAAATAAAAAAATTGAAACTTGTAATTATAGATCCAAACTTATATCATGTTTATTATAAATCTATTATACAAAATGAAATTTATTTTTATGATTATTAAAAAAAAAGTTTTTCTTAACATTTAATCAAATAAATATCATTTTTATCAAAATATTATAAGTATAACTAAATAATAATGGAGTCAAACATTTTCAACCATACGCACATGCACAGAAGGGTTCAGATAAACGCAAAGGTTCCAGCGGTAGGTATATGAATAGGGATCACATTTTAGCCTTGACCCAATAGATCTTTAACCTTGGTATTACATTCGACAGCGTGTGTATTATCACGTAATCCATGAAATATATGCTGAATGATTTCTTTTTCTTTTTTGTAAATATCGATATAGAAAGACCTTTATGATTTAAGAAATTCACAAAATATATAAATGAAGACTGAAAAAATATATTTTCATTTGTTCATATCTCTGAAATATATTGGCATATTCATACATTTTTTGAATTTATAGCTTTTTTATATAAATATAAATATTTAAAAAAAAATATGAAATTTTTATTAAAAACTTATTAAATTCTTCTTATTAAAAGTATTGAGTCTAATAAATGAATTGATAATAATTACTTAATTGAAATTAAGTAAATTATATTTTTAAGAATTGAAAAGCATACTGTTAAAATTTTAACTATAATTTTCAATTTGTCAAACAAGCATAACCATGAAATCGTTAATACATTTTATAACAATCAAAATTTCTTATTTTTTTCATTTGTAAAATTGCTAATGAATAGAAATATAATTAACAAACGATAAAAATCATTTAATAATCAATGAAACATAATAAATTAGAAAATAAAACTTTTTATAAGCTACACTTTTACACACTACATTGAGAGATCTGTCTCAAATTATACAAAAATATGCGTTCTAATTCAAGTAAGTAAAACACTCGTGTTACAAGTTCTCTAACAACAATCCAGAATGGCAAATGCCTTTCACTGTGCCAGCTAAAAAGTAAATGATATCAATGAAAAACTATCTAATAAGGAGGAACAAGTTCCTACTATGTACATAATATGGTCCGAATAGAAATATTTTTTTTTTCCTCAAAGCATATCGTACGATTTTACCACGTTCAATATTGATATCGATAATATTCAATAACTATTGTGCACTATCGAATCAGCTTGAGAGACGGACAATTGATACTGAGCTCGACATCGAGCACATCGTTTTGTTTTAACGCTAGACCAGCGAAGAAACATTCTGTATAATCAGTTAACTATTATCTTTCTCGATTTCCGTCGCGCCATACGACGACAGAAATTGTTCAAGCAAATTAAACGCGAAACATACTATTCTTTTCATTAAATCAATCACAACCGCATTATTCATTGCTTACAATTGTCCGGTCTCCCCCGGACGTGTAAATCTTTAAAGGTATTTCATATCTTGTTTAAATCTGCTTTTCTTTTTATTCTTTTCTTATGTCTTCGTTTATCTTTAAAGATAATTAAATTTATTATAACTGGCATCTACTGATACGATATAGATAGAGTGCAACATCGAGACAAAACGTTCGATATCAT